GACTTCGGGTTTGATTGGCAATCAAGCGTCCATTCAGGCGAGGGACGAACACTTCACTGAGTATGCCAGAATGCCTTTCTTAGAACCAGAAATGGACATCAGTGGTTTCTTTTCTATCAACAGGTTGCATCGTCAACCGTACACCATCTTGTGGAACTACTTGTCTGCGAAAACGATGGCTAAGAATTCCTTTTCGGTCTGCCCATAGTTCTTTTCTGCAGCCGTCAGTGTACGTGAGGCGTGTATGATAGCAATCTGCGGATCGTTTTGAAAGCGGTGGTAGTGGGCTGCTCTGATCCATTAATTGGAGGCTTCAGTGGGGGCCAAAATAGGTGGAGTTGGATCATGATGTGTCAAGAGCAAATCAGTAGTTAGCATGAACTTTAGGCCTATGAATACCTCATCGCATAAGAAGGGCCAATGCCGGGAGACGTCGTACTGCAGAAACCGATCGAGCGGAGCCAGCAAGTCTTGCAGTGATGGGAGGAAAACGCCGTAATAGCTAACGAGGCCAAGAAACGAGCGGGATATCATCGAGAGCTGGAATCAGCCGAATGGTTTGGACGTTTACAGGATCCGGATGACGGCCATCTGGGATGGAAGATGAAGCCGAGATACTTGTTGGATCGAATACAAAACTGGTATTTATCTGCTCTCAATTTGAACCCGTACCCATGAGCACTTTGGAGAATCGTGACCAGTCGTTCTCATAGTTCATCTTGGGTGCGACCCCTGGTGATAAGATCCTCCAGGTGCGCCGATGTATTTGGAATGTCAGCGATTATCTCGTCCATCGTTTGCTGGAAATGGGCCGGGGCAGTCTTGACGCTAAGCGGCCGTCCGGTGCACTGGGAGAGAACGCGGTTTTTGTTGATCGTTAGAAAAGACTGTACTCAAGGGCCTCTTCAATTTGGAGATGAACGTCTGCCAGGTCAGGCTTTTTGAAACACACCCCATCGTCCCGAGCTCTGCAGCACTGTTTTGGCGCCTGGCTGTGCTTATACTTTGGTTAAAGAGCGTGTGACATCAATGAAATCAACACAAACGCAGCCATCAGTCTCCGAAATAGTGAATTCTCCCTTGATCGAGAAATCCTGAGAAACAAGCGAGAAAAGTTGGCGAAGGCGACGGCATTTTTTCTTGACCATCGCAGATCAGGCAAAATTCGCTTGTACGACGAGCGGATTACGTTCCCGAACCTGTCTGTCACCGCTGCAGTACGCCCACGCTCACAAAAAGAGCACTGGCGCTCCGCATTTCACCAACCCATCTCTCTCTGCACGCCATATTTCCAGAATGCACTATGATTGCCACACAATGAGCTGACCTGCCACCAGAACGCGACCCCGGGGGTAAGCGACTTCGCATTTCAATACTCCAGCGTGACGACAACACCCAGAACCTGCAAAATGACGTATACCACCACCCTCAGTAGCGGGTCAGCGTAACATCGGTACCTGCCAACCGTCGATAATGCATTAGCAGGTCTGCGCAACGCAGTGGCTTGGTAGTAGTTAATTCTGTGTATGTTCATTTCTTGAACTTGTTGCTTCCACGATAACCCCATCACCCCAGTATCCATCAACAATCCTTTGACTCCACTAATCGGCGTTGCTACTTCGAGCTCGATCATAAATGGCATATGATGCGAACGGATTTGTCGTACACAGGGTAGTACATTTTCAATTACCGTATATTACCATGTATAAGTCGAGGAATTTTGGACAATTTTCCATGTCTCTAGTGGGGAGGGGGAGTTGGCTTATGCGCAATTTGAAAAAATCACATGCAAAATCCACCCAGAAATTCACTACACACCTATGCCCCTATCTTGCCTCAGCACTACTCTCTAGTGACAGATGATATCCCAAGCGGGGATTTGAAGTGCCTATAGGTAGACACATTATGTTTGTGTCGAAAATTCTCGGTATATTGCACATTTGACTTTCGTGACGGATGGCAGTAACAGAAACATACTGATTATACAGAATCGAATCATCACACACAATAACATTGGAAAAAGACATGACAGGACAGCACGTACCAGTAGACTTTATAGGCTTACATATTCAAACGCTGCACAATAGTAATAAAATTACTCCAATCCATCGAAACTAGAATCCGAGTCAGAATCTCCATACAAATGCATGAGGCCCCCGACTATGCGAGGCGGTGTCTGACATACCCTTTCACATTACCCCATATTGTCGGTTGTCTTACCTATTTCGTGTGACTTGTCATCTATTCAATACACTGTCCATGCGGTTAAAATCTGTGTCTGACGGTTCTAGGCCCCATCAACTGCGATCATAACCCATTAGGTCGCCAGAACTGACCAACGGTAGAGCAGCTTTCGCTTGAGCACACTCAATTGAGAGCAGGTATTGATGATGTCAAAACCGTGAGAAACAATTGGGTTTCTCTTCTTGCTGATGTTTTAGGGTCAACTAATATCTGGACTTAAGATTTTGGACAAATTTGACGTTGCAAAGTTATACTGTCGGCTTATACACGGTAATGTCCGGTATTCAGCCATGTAGGCTGGTCGTAGTGACAAAGCACATATGTGCTGTCGACCACAAACCGGAATTCACATAACGTTGGTGCTCGTTCCAACGTTCATTTTAGTGTCCCACTGAGGTGCATACTGGCCGTCACCTGTACACATTGTGATTGACAAATGCACGGTAAAGGAAATTTATCGAATGGGATGACGTAATCTTGGAATACTGTATTTTTTGTGAAATTAAAACTCACAGAACCTTCATAAACTCGGATGGGGTAAAGTGTGCTTAGAGAAACGCCAGCGAAACAAATGGGAATTGCGCATGTATTGGACACGTTGTTAACACAGTCATGAGTCATGAGTCATGATTGAATCTAACAACGGTTTCTCACGTTTGTAGGAAATCTAAAGTAATGCACTAAATACTGTTCACATCATCGAACTTAATTGCTGGGAAGTTGATGGCAAACTTCTATCTTTGAGCTGATCAGTAAGGCGAGGTCAGTAGTTGTTTCCACCCAACTAGAAATGGCTGGATAACGTCAAAGAACCACGTGAGGAGCGTAACACCCGATCACCTCTACTGTGAGCCATGTTTGTTAAACGTCGAACTAACTGGACTTGATAAGCCATAAGCAAATGCTTGAACAATGCCTCTGTAGTCTGAGGATGGGAGCAAGTAGTGTAAACCAGTGTACCGATGCATGGGTGTGGTGAGAAATACCGATCTATGGAACATTCGGCTGGATCACCTATGCTAATGAGTAACTTTATACGAAGGAGTTCCACCTCGGGCGCAACGACGTTGACTTCTCAATGCCTGTTCTCGCATGCTTCGGGATGCATGACGCATCGATATCCAGGTGACTTCTGGTATGCATGGCTTGATCTGTACCGATGCGGCTGTTTGCATCACCAAATGCCTGAGTGAGAGAATTCCAACGTGTTCCCGCCTCTGTTCGCATAAATGACATGTGAAACAAGCGGACCCATGAAGGTGTCCTTGTCCTCAAATAATCATGAAATGCCTGGCAGTGCATTGGCTCACTTTACATTGGAAGATTACCTAATTAACTGGATTCTTAACCGGTGATTCACGCTTTTCCCAACAATCTACAAACATCGGATAACTCTTGCATCGCATCCCTTGCCATATATCCCTACAGCTTTGTTGACTTTTCGGGGATACACAGCGGAAAGCTATGTGAAGACCAACTGATTACGTAGCTGTAAGACGGGTCCATCGTATGCGACTTTCTATCTGATGGTCTATCTGGATTCATTTTCCATTATCACTAGTAGTTCGAGCACCGAAGGGTGATAAATCCAGTCTAACTGAATAGCGACGTCATGAAAATACCGCTCGGTAACACGGGAGTAATGAGAAACGAAAAATGAGGAAGTCGGAAACCAAGCAGACGACTCGGAAGGAGAATGGAAGTTGGCGGATGTTGAACCGGTCGTCCCTCGCATGACTCCCATGCAGAAACACCGCGTTAGGCAGCGCAACCCAATTTTTATTCCGCTTGCTTTCTGCTCTTTGGTCAAGTCATCCACTGGGCACACTGCTTCCCAATCCAGCTGAGTGCACCACATGCCAACTAGGCAACAGGTAGAAGAGAACCAGCTCCGATGGTTCAAAGTTGACAGCGGCGGCGCCTGAGTTTCTCTCCCAAGTTCCAACTAGCGGACTCCAGCAGTATGCACTCGGTAGTCTCGTCTTATGCACTAGTGGCCATAAAGATAGTTTCATGACTTCTTCAACACCTATTGGCATCCGTACGTTTGCGTACAGTTTCTGTACAGTCTCCTTTATCTCATTACTGAGTTTAAGCACGATTGCCGACGGATAAGTTGCGAGTATTGAGTTATTGTTTTGGTCACTTGGCCAGGCAATTGGGTTGCCATCCTCAATGGGTAATATTAACTAGCCTGTTGAGTTGAAACTGTGCCTCAATTATCTCGCGTTATTCATCTATTCCGTTTCTGTGTTTCCAGACTGCCGACTACTTACTGATCCTGTACACCTTTTACGCAAATGCGCAGAGACAAAAAGTGGCTAGACTACTTGTTAAACACTAAAAAGAGGAGCTGCTCCATATACCGGATTCTCCCTATGGATCCGTGCCGCAGCTGTTAGCATCTAAACTAGAGTCGAGTCCACAGTTATCTAATTACAGAATTTATTTGCTTTGCATCATTTTAAACTCCCAACTTTAGACTTTCGCGTTAGCTGGTTAGTTGTATCTGGAGACTCTAATTAACCCATTTTCCGTATAGATGCAGGAAAAAAACAATCTCACATTTGCACTTCGTGCAGTGTACACAAATTAAAATACTCTACGCTGTGCTCATTCGTCAGTCAAAGTGAGACCGTATTCTTTACTACTGACCCGCTCACCTGACTCCGTTTCGGGATACTGCAGCTTTTGACTCATCGGTACTATAAACATGTGCTTCCTATTTTTCCCCGTTTATCACGATGGTGTGGCAGACTCGGATCTTCTCGGTGAAATGAAGGCACGATTGCGTGGTCCACGCTCGACAGGCGAGGATTTCAGGGCATCAAAAGGAAAGTCGCCACCGTCTCAGCCGCATTCCGATCTTGAAGTCGGCATGCATTCGGAATCAGACACCGCGACGAAAGAGGCGGAATCCGGGTCCTCTTCTAGAAAGAAGCACATGGATACATCCCCGGTCAATTCAGTCAAGGTAAGGCAGCGAGATTCGTTATGTCTCTGAACGTATTAGGCCTCTTGAAGTACACTACGACGTAACCCATGAACTAGAATCTACAAGAATCCTTCTCTGGCCTAATGATCTTAGCTTACAGAGGAAGTTAAACTCATGAGATTTCCGCAGGCCACGTTTCAGCAAAATGTCAGAATTATGCGCGCCTTTTGCTTGAGTCGGTCAGTCCGATGACACAGTCATCGGCTGGCGCCCTCCCAACCCACTACTCCTTTTTAAATCCCGAAATATAATGCGATTTGTACTTTTCTCCTTGGTACGGTACTGTCACCAAAATTGTGCCGCTCGATAGTCTTTCATGTACCGCACACAGTAGTCAATGCTACCCCTGAGTCTCTATGGTAAGCTCATCTGTGGTCCCAACAACTCACCTCATAAGTCGTTGGGGGTTTACTTGAACAAGATGCTCCTTCTTGCATCCAGGATCGTCAAATCTTTCCATGTGGGTTTTCGCATAAATTACACTATTGGCGGCCCAATATCAGCTAATGTGAGCGTGTCCATGCACCGCACCCCGTCGAAATACCTAGTGGGCTCCCACCTTATGTTACGACTACGTCAAGAATCGTCACCTCCTGCTTCCCTCATTTTCTCACCTTGTCTCTCTTCTCCTGCCTGACCCCACCGGTTAGTCGCCCGCCTTCCATGCATTCTGTGATTGATCACCGGCAATGCCACTAATCCAACCGCCATTATGCTTCACTTTGTGACCCTGTCTTCAGCTAACTACCCACCCTTCTTTTCTCCAACAGCTACCTTAACGGAAATTTCCTTCGTTCAGCCGGTTGATAACGTATAATAAGGACGGTTTACAGTAGTGACATTCGGTGTAAGAACGAGTCACGCCACATATTCTCACATGGAGCAAAACGATCGCGTTTTACTATGCAGACGCATGATGACCCGTATTGTTAGCAAATCACAAAACGAACGATCCAGGTCACCACATTTCACTCTAACCTCGATTCACCTTATTCTTTCGGGTCAAAATAGCATGTTTCACACGTATTGGCACCTGAATTGCGAACTTGATGATCGGCTGGTGGCACAATGCACCGAGTACAACGTAACATGCCTCGGGAAGTTAGTCAATGCAAATTGACGCTTTCGGAAGTCGTTAGTAGTAAGTATTACTGTGTTCAAAAGGAAAGCGAACTTCTGAAATAGCGAGCCAACCGGCAGAGGTAGCGCGTTGCGGCCACTGAGAGCATGTAGAGGCATGTTTAGACAACAAACTTTCATTCGTCGCGTTTCGCTCTGACCGTTCACCGGCGACCTACACCTATTAAGGTGCACAGTTTCACAGGCTGCTCCTGGGATTGGTTTTGAAGTCACAATTAAAGATCTTGGAGAACACTGTGTGCGTGTCACATTTTTCTGCAACTAGGAAAAACTTTTACAGATATTTCATTTGCTTATTAACGCATACGGGCGGGAATGTATAAGTCGCACGCAACGCTATAAATGGTTTAGGTATTTTGAACTCGGAGCAATGTCGCTAGGTGAGGATCTCAAGCCTAGACGACCTTCCACATCAATAGACGATGACTATGCCGAAAGAGTTCGCGCTATGGTCCGCGGAAATCGTCGTCTAACTGTTCGAGAAGCTGCTGACAAAGTACGCACCAATATAGAATCATACCATCAAATTTTGGGTGACGAACTTGAAATGCATCGTATCAGCGCAGCATTCGTGCTGTTTACTGACGATCGGAAGCAGAACCGTGTTGGAATCATTTAGGAAATGCTTGCAAGTGCCAATGATAATAAACACATCCTTAAAAACATAACAGGCGATGGGACGTGGATTCATGGCTATTCTATCGAAGTAAAGGCGAAGTCGTTGCAGTGGATGGGAATAGGGTCTCGTCATTCAAAAAGTACGCACGAGTCGGTCAGAGATCAAGGTTACGTCACTTGTGTCTTTTGATTGCAATGACATTGTCCATCAGGAATTTGTATCACGTGGTCAGATGGTAAACAAGGAAGTCTGTCAGGCAATCTTAGTACGCCTGATGGATGCTGTGGGAAGGAAGAGATCTGAACGGTGGGAAAAGCAGACTTGGGTGTTGCATCATGGCAGTGCACCGGGTCACGCATCAGTCCTTGTCCGCGGTTAACTAGCAACACACCAGACTCCACTTGTACCCTACTCACCATCTTTTTCGGACCTAGCACCAGCAAAATTTTCGCGTTTCCCAAACTTAAAACCACGCTGAAAGAACGTCGTTTCTAAATCATGGCGAAGATTCAGGACAGTGCGACAATAGATCTGTCCACCATCCAGGAAAGTGTTTTCCAGAAGGCTTCCCATAGATGGAAGCACCGTTGAGAATGATGCATGGCCAATAGCGAGGACTACCTTGCGAGAGATAGGGCTTAAATGTCGTTCAGTGAGCAATAAAGATGTAGCAGTGTTCGCTTCCTTTTTAAGCCGCCTTCGTATTTCATCTATGCGCTGTGTCGCTTTTACCCACGACCATTACACGTCCGTAGGTACAACCATTAGGATATGACATCTCCGAACCAGCTTATAAGGGAATTTCGTGACTGGTGAACAACCTTGTCCTCAGCATTTTGCAAACGCGCATGCTAGCGGAGGATGGATATACACGCCATATTGCGGACAGACAGTGTGTCAAGGCGACTGCTGCTCACCCCCCCTCCCCCGTAGCCCTGTGGACTTAACCACTGGGTGCGGATTCTAACTCCACAACGGATAGATGGGATGTGCATTGCTGACGATTCCCGAAAGGATGAAACGGTCGTACGGTGCCTTTCCGGACGTGTAGTCGCTGTCTGACCACATGTTGCTGTAACCAACCTCCACCGAGAAGTTAGTCCAAATCCTGTCTTTCACTGCTTCTTAAAAGTTGACAGCTGACGATGAAATCTATCGATTCAGTGCAGCAAATCTATTTTAACAAGTTTGCATTTTGCTGTGGTTCTGTTCAACTGTCAATGACCCCTAGAGATCGGTTTCCCTACGGGTAGCTACGCACAAGCAGGGGTTGCCCACGAACTTCGGGTTCTACCACATTTCATCGAAAGTGTTGGACGACAAACCGTGCTAATCGGGTGGTTATCGCATCTAAGAACCAACCTAGCTAAGTTTTACTGAAACCAAATTCGGCGAAGTGCACTCCATATTAAACCAATCTTCTTACTCCGAATGAACTCATCCTCAGTGCTTGCAATGCCGATGGTTTTCATCACACCAATGTACCAATCGAGGGCGTCTGTCAAGGTTAGAGCTTACTGTGGACCATTTTATCGGCATCTATAATCGAATTGCCAAGTATTGATCGCGGGTCTCAGGGGTCTTCTGATCAATGCGCCAGTCTTTAACCATTATGTGCCGGGAACCATTTTCAACTTCGGCTATCTTTACCTGAATAGTCCGAACGAGGAGGAAATCGGTCGTTTGGTGGTGTTGGTAAAAAGCAACATGGAAAGCTCCCACTTCTGACACGGTCCCAGTGATAAGAATACCCGATATATACGTTAAAGTGCGTATCGCAGTCCAAACAAACGACGGATTCACAAAAACCTAAAATTGAACGCTGACTGAGGCTCATTCGAGTAACCTATTTTAAACTGTGCCTTAAATACCTCGTGTCAGTCACTTGGTGTTACCAGCTGCGTAATGTAACATTATTAGCTTTGGAGTTGGAACCAACAAATCAAACACTGGTTAAGACACCACATTGCGCGGGTTAAGCTTATTACAAAAGAGTACCAGAATTAGGAGATTGTTTTTTTCTAGTTTACAGTGGTTTGTACAAAAAGCCAACGAAGTTAAAATAACACCATCTCCAGACGAAAGCATATACCGATTGTTTCCAAACCTCTCTGAACTCATGACTACTCCGTCGGTTCCAAGTATCTTCCAAGGATTTGATACCTGCTTTAAGTTATCACAGATTGCAAGCGAAGTCAGCAATGTGTAGTAATGTGTGATATAGTAATGTGTAGTATACAAACCGTAACCCCAATTTAATCGCACTGTTCTTCCTTGCTCCTACTCAATGTACAGTCTATTGTTTCGGGCTTGCTAGCACCTCTTACGCAGCGTCACCGTAAATTGGGGCCGTAGAGAGTGCACACACGCACACACACATATTGAATCAAAGTTGGTGTGATTGTCGGGTTCACATCTACCTAGCAGCGATTCTGAATTACCGTGGGAGGATAGTGAGAGCTAACTTGTTGGGAAGGTCAAGTTCTGGTGTCCTCTTCAATATGGAGACTGGCAATTTCAATTGACGGTCTATTCAGAAGTGTTTGCGCTCTTTCACTAGTCGTGTGAGATTAGTATGCTGGCAGCATCTGCTACACCGGTGTGAATTACCCAGGCTGAAGCCACTTCAGATCAACTTAGAATGCCGTTTCTTAGTGCAAATTTTGCCTTCTCAGTTTACTGTGCTGTGCACTGCCCTTATTGTCAACGCCACAAACCAGCTCCGCATGTCCACCGAAAGCGTTTGTTCGCGACTCGGCCATTGGCAATTCACCAACCGACTCGGTGTCTACGTGATGACCTATGACATCGATCGTCAAGGGGTCGAAGAGCCTATCGAATCGTGCAATGATGGGCTATACGGCGGTTGCATTCTGGTCCATCACAATCACACTGCTAAAACACGCCACGTCAATAACTACGATACAACGAGCTCCTACAAATTTATGTCTGGTGCTTCAATGGGATTATTGCATATTGTTCATATTTTGTATTTGCTGGCAGATTCCGCTCTTCTCCGCTACATAGGTCCTCTCTATCCAGCTGCAACAATAGCACAGGTAAGACGTGGGTTTGACGAGTTTTGTCTGCGTTCGTCATACGGCCACCATGCATGTAGACAACCGCTGAGCGGTTTTCCTTTTCCTTGTGGCTCATATTTCTCTTGTGCGTACAAGTGCACAACTTGTGGTCTCAGGAGACATTGTTAACGGTAGTAGGT